GTGTCACTCCTTCCTCTCTGCTATGCGACAGCTTGATTCTTCTTCACATATTATCTGTATTGCCCAGGTGACAGTGCTGCAACTTCAAAATACCACAAAGAACAAATCACGCGAAACACAAAAACACTGTCGCAGGCACATAGCCCAATGGCGCAGACCACAAGTTGATATGGAAACTCTCACCTGGCCTTTGCTGTCTCGCTGAGAACAGGAATGGCATGTGCAGCCACATGAGTTGCAGCAGCCTGTTGTGGGCAGAGCCTGTCACAACAGAGACTCTGGAGATGAATGACAGCTGGGACTCTGCAGCAACCGCTCTCTCCTGCAGGCCGCAGCCCACTAAACAGCGTCTGTGACCTGATCTGACCGTGATGGATTAGGGTGTCCGCTCGGCAGAAACCACCTGCCTCGAGTCGCAGCACACAAAAAAACATACACATGAGAGAAAACACATTTCTGAAGGGCTGTTAATTGATCAGTCGCCTGTATGTAAGGTGAGAGTTTTCTGCGTCATGCAGGGCAACATGCAACGAGACTGGGAAGCTCAGAGCGCCAGCGAAGCCAGGGCTGCTGAGCTCAAATGTCACAACAATGCAACTAAAAATAGTGACATCAATAAATGAATGAGTTTGAGTAGCGCCGAGCATCAAATATTAAATCAGAAATTATTGTTATAAATAGAGCACTGTCTCACACTGAGGCTGGCCCGGTGTGCTATTCTTACCTCGCCAGCGGTGTTTTTCTTTCTTGGAGCCTTCTAACAGAGAAACATGAGTCAACACAGGCCTGTTGGAGCCAGGTTTTTTGTAATTTTAAGAAATATGACCAGGATAGTGAGCTTCAAAACTTTTTCCATCTTTAATGTGCCACATGCCTTACCCAAATTTATCTGTTAGAACAGATCTGCTTTAATGGAAAGAAACACTTTTTCAAGTTTGAAATCATTAACACACCCTCATGTGTTTACGTCACAAAGTAGATTTTGAGCTTTTCCGTGTCCTTTATGGAAGGTGTCGTACTTATTCAAATATGAGTGTGTAGGTGCCTGTCTCTGATTGGTTGATGGAAGACGACGGACGTCCTATTGGTGGTCTCCCGGAGGTGACGGATATAAAAGCTGAAGACGTGCACTTCATGTCATCCTTCCTCAGCTCATCTCAACTGGCCACACTGTTTCATCTGTAAAATCATGTAAAGTCCTGGAGTTTGTAGGAGTCAGCTGCCGTTTATGTTTCATTAGTTTTCTCCTGTTTTCTTAGTTAGGGAGGGAAGTTTTTGTCATTTGGTTTCTTTATTTTCAATTAGGTAAGTTGGTTAATATTCACATAGTTTCCTTTAGTTTGTTCTTTTCGGCATTAGCTCACTCTGAAGTCATATGCTCCCCCGGGTGTAACAACTCAGTCCAAAAATACATCTTTTTACAATAAATAACATTATAAAATGTGCAACTTTGTGTATGTTGACCGCTTGAGAGAGGATGGATCATTTGTGTTATGACCTGGCTACCCCTAGACGGGTCGAAACGCCAGATACTGTGAGTCTCCTTTGCATAATAATCCGCAGAAACAATTGAACTCTTTCTCAGTGTCGAACATTTAATTTCTCTTCTGCTGCTTAATCAGTTGTCACCAAACCTTCTCCCCTTCGCCCTTTCTCCCCATCAGGCCCTTTCAAAATAAAACATTTCCAAATCATTTAACATTTTCATAACTCCAATTTTCAGTCTTACACGATGAACTACTGCTGTGAGGTTTATATCAATGGGATAATATTTGAGGAAAATAGGGAGGGCATGCAAATATTGGCAGGCTAATAATAAGCTGTGCAGGCTCCGACATTAAAACGCATCCCGCCTACATGAATAGACTAGACCAGTGGTTCTCAAATGGGGGTACGCGTACCCCTGGGGGTACGTGAAGCTTTTCAAAATATCTTTTAAAAAATCAGTCGGCTCCTCATAATAAGTCTTGGGAAATTATTTTGTAAAAAAGTTCGATAAAATATAAATGTGTGTTCATGCACTGAATTTTATATTCAGTATTTAGTTTCAATATCCTTTAAAATAAAACGGACCCCCCCCCCACCAAGTTAGTTTGACCCACGGACCTCTACGACCTGTCGTTATCATGACTACACTTTAACTATGGAGACGTGGCTAAAGCGCAGCAGCAATGCTGCTGAAATTACAGATAAAGTGAAAAAGAAGGCAAAACCAGAGCCGACGAAGTACAGAACGTACATGGAAAAGTATGTGTTAATGGGATTTACGTCCACGATTTTTTTAGCTTGCATGCTAGCCAACGCTAGCATGCAAGCCGGCACACCTCCAGCGGCATCTCACCACAAAACATGGACGTCGCGTTGGTAAGCCACCGGAGTTCTTCAGGAGAAAACTTTCTGAGTTCAAGTCACCCAAAGCCACAATGCGAAAAGCCTCCACTGCATCAGCCAAAGCTAAAGCCAAAAAACCGTTCACCATAGCGGAAGACCTGCTGCTCCCCGCTGCAGTTGAAACTATGCTGTACAAAAAAAAATCAGCGGATACATTAAAAACTCTGTCTAATGACGCCGTTACTTACTGTTCAAACCGAATCAAATGTTCAATGCAAAGTGATTAAAGTGCAATCTTCTTTTTTTATCCGAAGAGAGGTAACGTTCATTGTTTTTTTTTTGTGAGCAAATCTTTATTTATAAAGTCAATTTATTTTGTAAACAAAATATAATTTATTTATAATTAAGCTATAGATTTATTTGTGTGAACATTTTTTAGTTATTTATGTATATATTTAATTTTGTACCATTACGGAGACCAATATAAATTAGCAGTGATTTGCATATTTCAGTTTTGACTGGTTTTATGCCTTCCTGGTGGTCACTGTGTTCTGTTTTTCTTTTTTGTTTCTACATGCAATGTTTGTAATATGGATGTATTTGTCAGGTTCACTGATATGAGGTGTTCGGCTTTAATAAATCAGACGGTGATTTTACAGCACTGTTTTTTTCTTCCAAAAATGTTTTGTCCGTGTCAGGGGGTACTTAACTAAAAATATTATTTTAAGGGGGTACATCACTGAAAAAAGTTTGAGAACCACTGGACCAGACAGTTAAGTGTGATATAAAATGTTCTGCACAATGGGTCTCTGTTTTGTAAGACTTTAAGCTATTATGGTGTTAACGAAAAATCTGGGAACTTCAAACCAGCTGCGGAAAAAATTTTCATCAGACACTGACTGCAACTCGTTCGACTCATACGTCTCAATAAAGTTACAAAACCGTATTTATATCAATTAATATGCGAAGTAAAACCCACCATTTCAGGGCTTACATGGTTAAGAAAGGTGATCATGTTACACTATTATGCCGAGAAACACCTGTTCTCCAGCATCCCCGGCGTCCGATCCTCCAGCTTGCTTTAGTCAGGTGACCAATGGCAAACACCTGATTGACTCAGCTGTTCATTAGTCAATTGACTCTTCTGCATCGCATTCAAACTCCGGATGTGACGTCACAGATTGACGTCAATGACCAGCAGAAGCAGAGCCTTTGAATGTCCTCTGAGATCATTTGGTCGCACAAATCATTCCCTTGTCTTTGCAGTAAATGCTTGCAAACACGAAGCCATTGGAGACTCAATGGGCTTTAAGATCGGATATCCTTTCTTAAGTTTACAAGCTATGCTCTGCTCAAGGGAAATGTCAGGTCATGAAAGACCTGTTTGGCCCCCATTGTCTGAGTGCGACAAGGGGGGTCTGTGTCATGTGATTATGGTCACATGACACATGGGATGGGAAATAAGCTTCCATACACAGGAAGCTTATGGGCCAATACACCTTATGGTACATTTGTATGTATATATATATATATATATATATATATAATATATATATATATATATATATATATATAATATATATATATGTATATATATATATGTATCATTATATATATATATATATATATATATATATATATATATATATATATATATATATATATGATATATATAATGATACATATATATACATGGTACATTTATATATATATATATATATATATATATATATATATATATATATATATATATATATATATATTTATATATATATATAATATATATATATATATATATATATATATATATATATATATATATATATATATATATATATATATATAAGTAAATGTACCATAAGCTGTACAGCTTATGGTACATTTATGGTACATGGTACATACCATAAGCTATATATACATAAATGTACCATAAGGTGTATTGGCCCATAAGCTTCCTGTGTATGGAACTTCATTTCCCATCCCATGTATCATGTGACCATAATCACATGACACAGACCCCCCTTGTCCACTCAGACAATGGGGGCCAAACAGGTCTTTCGTGACCTGACATTTCCCTTGAGCAGAGCATAGCTTGTAAACTTAAGAAAGGATATCCGATCTTAAAGCCCATTGAGTCTTCAATGGCTTCCTGTTTGCAAGCATTTACTGCAAAGACAAGGGAATGATTTGCGACCAAATGATCTCAGAGGTCCAACATTCAAAGGCTCTGCTTCTGCTGGTCATTGACGTCATTCTGTGACGTCACATTCGGAGTTTGAATGAGTCAAAAAAAGGTCACGTGACCAATGAACAGCTGGGCTAGTCAGATTCAGGCAATAGGTCACGTGGCCCTTCAATATTCATTTTCTTAACCATCAAATATAAATGATATCTTAGTTATACATAAATTATATATAGATATCAAATTGAAAATACAGATATGTTGATATAGATATCTATGTGTCAGTGTAACAGAGTTACAAATGTGTTTATAAAATTTTTATTTCTAATTCATTTTATGTTGAGAATTTGTGAATTTTATCTTATTGAGTTATTTTGATTTGTTGCTTTTGCCTGCGGGGGTCGCTTTTCTGCGATTTTCCTCGATTATGTCTCCTAGACTTCCGTAGTTGCCCCAGCCCTAGCTCATCGCTTACCCCTTTGTTTCGCGCTGCTGAGGGCAAGTGAGAGGAAAGTTCGCTGCAGTGATGTATGTTTTCTGTATGAATATTGTTGTTTACTCTGAGGTTTCTACCATGTGTTGTTTATTATTGCTGTTAGTGAGTTATTTTGCAGTTTTGACAGTCATTGCCGATTTTTCTAAACAGTTTTATTATAATTTCTTTCTTTTTATTTTGGCGCGAACAACCGGTGCTAGTTAGTCTAGCACAGCTCGGATGAACTTTATTTTTATTTTCACATTTAGGGCTGGAGTGTAAGGAGAGGATTTGGAGAGGAAGCTAATTTGTTTTGTTCTTCTCTCCCAGGTATGTGTTTTATTTTAAGTTATACTTTTAATCTTTTAATTTAACTCTGTCCCCCTGTATTGTAATGTTGTGGCCACCAGGTGGTGTTTTTCTCTTCTTGTTTTTAGTTTATTATTTTTGTGAGATTTCTTTTTTTTCTGTTGACTCTTGTTGAGTCTAAAAGAAAAAAAAATAATACTAAATGAATTGTTAGTAGACAGCGTTGTTTCGCGCTGCTGAGGGGCTGGAGCGTAAGGAGAGGATTTGGAGAGGAAGCTAATTTGTTTTGTTCTTCTCTCCCAGAATAAAGAAAAACTTGATCGAAATCTGATTGAAGCTTTCTTGAAGAGATCCGTTACATCAATACTTATCCACATATAATTTATATAAAATTTACATTTGATGGTTAAGAAAATGATTAGCGACTAAATGATTGCAGAGGGGATACAGGTCTTTGAAGTCAATCTATGACGTTTCATTCAGGCTTCGAGTTTGCCACAGGAAGGTCACGTGACCAATACCAAACATCTGATTGGCTCAGCAAGTCATTGGTCACGTGACCTTTTTTTTTGTCGCATTCAAACTCCGAATGTGACGTCACAGATTGACGTCAATGACCAGCAGAAGCAGAGCCTTTGAATGCTGGACCTCTGAGATCATTTGGTCGCAAATCATTCCCTTGTCTTTGCAGTAAATGCTTGCAAACACGAAGCCATTGGAGACTCAATGGCTTTAAGATCGGATATCCTTTCTTAAGTTTACAAGCTATGCTCTGCTCAAGGGAAATGTCAGGTCATGAAAGACCTGTTTGGCCCCCATTGTCTGAGTGCGACAAGGGGGGTCTGTGTCATGTGATTATGGTCACATGACACATGGGATGGGAAATAAGCTTCCATACACAGGAAGCTTATGGGCCAATACACCTTATGGTACATTTATATAGATATATCAATATCTGTATGATATATGTCTATCTCTATAGATATATAGAGATATATCTATAGAGATATATATCTAATATAGATATATATCTATAATTAGGTCTACAATATATTTTTATGTCTTTGTGTGGAGACATATTTAATTTCTGTGAATGCCATTTTTACACTTTGTCACTTAAGTTGGAGAAAATGTAAAAAAGTAAACACTAAGGGATCGTTTCTTTAACCATAAATCCCAGAAAAAAAACATTTGTTTCAATTCATGATTAGACAGACACAATGTGACCCTGCCTAATATGCCAGTATTATATGCAGTTTCTCTTACTTGTATCTGTGTGTGAGACCAGACATCATCAAAAAGGGATGATTAGACGACTAAGATATACACAGAGGATTATTGTTTCAAAAGAACACTAACAAATGGAATTATGAACAGAAAATGCAAATAAACCAAAAACAACAACAAGTCAACAAGTACTAAAAACATATACTAAAAACAATTACCATTAATTTTATTTTATAACATTGATTTAAAGTTGCAGTTTGTCTTTCTGTAGAGTGAGTGGACAACCTTTGCAGACACTGGCAGTGGGGACACAGAAGATGATATGTGGGTAAGACAACAATGTAATGCAGTGAAAATAAATCAAAGCATACTAAAAAAATTTAACCAATCGTTTCAGTGAGGAAAGGGTTCAGTTTTCAGTGCTTCTCTGACGAATTAGAGAAAGACGTTGGATGGACTGACAAAAAACAATGCAGAAGGAGCCGTAACCCTCTTTTCAAAATCATATTTATAAGACATGGAGAAAAAAAACAAGGGGGAGGAAATGTTCCACACGTAGCCAGGATGTAGGGAAACGCAGGCAGGCGGTGGTTGTCGAGAAAATAAAAGTGAGAAAGTGGAGAAACATGCAGAGCTGTCATGGCAACATTCTAAAAATGGCAAAATAGCAGCTAATTACCACCTCCACCCACTGCTATGATATGTACTGAATATAATGGTGAAGGTGACAGGACACCTGCTAAAAAACCTCACCTGGTTATCAGCTGCAGGTAGAGGGCAGTGTGTCTAGAGACTACCTCAGATTCTCCTCAGCTGCTTTCTTCTCTGCAGGCAAAATGTGTGCAAACCAGCAAAGGTTGCTGCTGGTTGTGCTTTTGTCACAGTCTGGATGCTTATTTTCAGCATGCTGATTGCGCCGCCGTTCCGAGGAGGATTTGAAGGGAGTTTGTGGAGTCGTAAGTGCAAAAAGTTGTGAGCAATGAGTGTCGTAACTAAAGCGGCCTCAGAAGAAGCACGCAGAATTTCTGAAAAGTCAAACTAAGAACTCCTTGGATCACCGTTTCCAACGCTGCTCTTCAGGGCGCACTGCCCTGCATGCTCTAGGTGTTTCCCTGCTTCAGCGTTTCCCTGGTAGTTAAGATAATGCTTAACCACCATCATCTGAATCGATCCTTAAGGATCAGCTTTAGATCAGATTTTTATCTAGAGCAGTGGAATCAACTTGTTCACCACGTGATGTTTTTCTAATACCCCAAAATATGTTTGCACGTGTTGGAAGATGTGCTGCTTTAGGAAAAACAATGCCACGGCATTATTTCGCATTTCGTGGCACAGGATGCGTTTGCCAGGGAATTCTATATTTTTTTGACATGCTAAAAAAAGAACAAAGCAATATCACGCTAAGTCACACCAGATGTAGTTATAGTTCCTTCATAGCTTCACCCCAACTCCTATTGCCCTCCACTGCTGCACTGAACAAAAAGGGTCACCAAATACATGACTGACACATAAAGTATATAAATAAATATCTACTTTTCATTGGAGTCCAAGTCATTCTATGTTATTCTGATACTGTGTATTATAAATGTGCAAATAGTGCGCATACTACTTAATAATAACATCACTTATCACAACATTATGCCACTCTATGCAAATGATCTTTTCATGTCGTTTTACTTGCATAGACACATCAAGTCTCTCTTCTAGAGAAAACTTCAAAAGGTTGGGATTATCTGCCATAAACCCTTCACCCTGTATCTCCAGATTGAGGTTAAACTCAGTGCTTTCTACTGCAGACAAGATAATGAGTTGCCATCACGACTTCACATAATTCAGCTTCAAAATATGCTGAGTAAAAAAATAAAAGGCTGGAATCTGACACGATGACAGTTTTCTTCAATTATTTTACTGTAGCACAACTTAACGAGTAATCTAAGCTTGTTTATTTGATCTTTGTTTTGCTCTGGTGTGAGCAGGATGCAGAAAAGGAGACCTGGGTGAAAATAAAGGCACGCAAAAATATGCATTTGTCACATTACGAATGCAACCAAGCTCTGTCACTTCTGAGGTCAGAATGAACTCTCTGACGCTCTCTTCTGAGGGAAATTAATTCTTCTGATGAATTCTGCATTTCTACACATTTTCCTCCCTCGTTTCAGGTCAACTTTAAAGTGAAGTTTTCCTACGTCTCTTCCAGGCCAGTGCCAGTGTTTTGATATTTAATGTTAGTTCGACATGAAAATAAAGATTTTTTTTTCTTTAGATAAGGAAGCGGTGGTGAAAAAAGTATACCAGTAATAGATGCAAATGTATCAGTTCGCTTCAGTTCTCTCACTTTTCTGATGTATTATTATTATTACTTATTTATTTATTTTCATTTATGCAAATGTCGGAGAGTGTTATGGCCAAGTGTGTTGGACTGTACTAGTCATTTCACTCAGCAGCAGGAAAAAAAAAATGAAATGAATAAATAATAACTGGAAAATCTTGATGAAAAATTTATTAAAAAAGAGAGAACATTTCTTCTAAAAAATGAAAATAAATCAAATGAAAAACTGGATTTAGAGAATACTTTTACTGCGGATCATCCGTAGTTATTACAATAACCATCTTTGTTTGTAACGCATACAGGTATCGAATCTCTGAAAGGTCCTGTTCGGCGCTGCACAGATGGGGAAAGTAAGATGAACCACCAGCATAAACTTTATTTAGGGGACATAAGATCCTCCAATCTAAACTGAGCTGGCTCCATGATAAGCAATTAAACTCCTGGGATAAACCCCCCCCCAAAAAAAACACTGGAAAGAAAGAAGGATCAGAGACGATTGAAAGGAATGTCTCGGCGTCTGTGGATGTTATCTGATTCTTACCACTAATATGATCCCTAATAAAATAGGTTATTTGTAGAGGCGAAGATTTGTCAGGAGATTAGATTACTGTTTCTCAAACTTCAGTACTCTGAGTTCTTCCAGTTTACAGTCTGAGATGTTTTCCCAGCAGGAAGCTTCGCCATTGGACACACATGGCTTTCTGGCCAGCTTCACTGTGTCACTGATGAGCTCTGCAGCACAAGCTAATAATCAGCATTCCCCGCTGACAGATGGCACGGCATGTCTGGACTTTCGCACTTATAAAAGGTGACAGTTTAGAGAAGTGGCTCTTCGCAAACTCTGGCTTTTCCAAGTGTTTGCACTGTAAGGAGAGCAGAGTCAAAAGCGGGCAGCTCTCATCAGAAGTGCAGAGGAAGTCCACCCAGATGTGTCTCCTTCAGAAGTTAATTTGTAAAGACAACAAAAAGAGCATCTGGAATGAGTTCTGTGGGTTTTTTTTTAATGCAGAGGTGAAAAGAGGGCAAAAAGTTCCATCTTTGCATGATTTAAAGTTGAATCCACAGACTCTGATTGGCCAAGAGATTTTGTATTTCAGAACCTGCAAAAGTTCTTACAGACAATTTAAAATTCTTTAAATTGCGACACTCAAAAATACAGTCATACAATATAAAGGTTGGCTGAATGTAGATGGTTTGAGCACTCATCCTGTGTGATTGTAAAGAATACACCAAGGAGTCCTGGCAGCGGGACTCGACGTACCGTTAATTATGGAGCTGCGGTGTGCCAAATTGCTTTGTTACCGAGGTTTCCAGTCACCCTGTTGGAAGAGGGCACATGCTCTTGATTAAGGGAAAGATAACTATCAGCTTTATTTAGATTACTGGTGGACCTGAGCAAACGCACAGTTAATGACATTAGAAAACCAGACTGCATCCTTTAATATGGAGAAATGAGTAGCAGCATAAACAAATGGAGGGTCACAGTGAGCTTACAGTCTACCTTCAGTTTCTACAAGCCGTGTTTTGTACACCTCACTCTAGGGCCTCCACACGCAGCTTGTTCAGTGTTTCTTTAGCAATAATTAAGCGCCGGTATGCGGGAGAGTAGCTGGCTGCGGTACGATTGTGACACAAAATTTATTCCCTGCAAATTTATGCAGAACTGAAAGTCTGTGCCCTGTACAATGTTTGTGATTCGTACCGAAGGCCGGCGCTGCTGAATAAGTTGGGAGGAAATCATTTAACCAATCCAGGCAATGAAGTGACAGAAAGCAACAGAGCATTTACTGAGATTAGAGTCAGAGGTGAATGAATGTATGTCATGGATTATGCGTGTCGGAGGATCACAAAATGACTAAATAAGAAATATCCTGATTTAGTTTTGTGTTCTGTTTGTTGCAACTTCACAGAAAAAGCCTCGTTTGCCTTGATCCAATCTCATCTGGTTTAAACTTTATTGTGACAAAAATTCATTATGATACAACAACGTTTTTTTCTCGAAGCATAAATTAATAGTTTGCTGAAAATGCTATCCATCAGAAAACAAAACCAGTAGTTGCCACAGCAGCTGCTAATAAAAAACACAGAGAATCTATGCTCTTTAGCTTTTGCTACAACAAAGCTTGAATTATGATGATCATATTTAGCTTTAGCAGAGTGGAGGAATAAAATTTTAAAAACCTGCTCATTCAGCTAGCTTCTGGTGTTTGTGGTTTCGTGTGGGCAAACAGACTTCACTGTTTGTTGACAAATTTGCCAGGCTGATGTACTAATGAAAAGAGCTGCAATTTACACAAATGTATTTTATTATTTTTTTCATAGAACAAATCCCACAAAGCAATTCTTTCTTATTATTCTCAGCACCAGGTGTGAAGCGTAGTTAGTAAAGCTCGACACATTGTTTGAGACGTATTCTGAATCATGACAGGATGTGTTTAGTGAGTTGTTTTTTGTTAGATTTAGATTTTGCTTTCTGTCTTGCACAGTGACAACAAAAGGAATTGTGATTCTCCGTCTTCCCGTCGTGGCATTGACGTTGCCAAGCTCAACAACAACACTGGATTAGAAAAGTATTGAAGACGCCTCTAATCGAATGCCTGATATTTTTGGACACTTGACGGAAGAACGCAAAGGAAAACTTGATGACGACAAAGTACACATGATTGAGCACCGTAACAAAATTATGATTGGTTAACTAATACAACTTGAATTAGCATGTTGTTGCTCCCTTAACTGATTTGATCCTCTTATTAAGTGAATTTGACCTGGATAATGTAGCAGTAAAAAAAAAAAAAAAAAGTTCTTAAAACAGGATGAAACCATTATTACATTTGTGCTTTACTGGCATTTGGATCACATTAGTATTAGACAAACACTAATGAACTAATATATGTGGCCTCCTTGTCAAACCCTGCATTGAAATATACCACAAACTCATATATTTTACAGTATGAGACCTTTACCCTCTCTCCTTACTACTACTGGTTCTCCTAAGTATGTTGCTATTCTCGTCTGGTCCAGGTTGTGTGAACTCATTTGTGTGTATCTTCTCGTCTCTTTTGAGTGGATCCATCTTCATGTCCCTGACATCAAGTGTTTTCTCCTCTTTGCTTCCTTGTTCCTTGGCACTTTTGTGCAGAATGAATAAAATGAACTGCGATTCAAGCTCTCTGTGTCCTTCTTTCTGAGGCTGTAGGTGGTTTAGCTGTTTGTTGTAGTCCTGCCTATTTGTGCAGCCGAGGCTGGTAACGAAAGATGTAGACCACTGTAGCACACACGCCACGACAGAGGCGTGTGTGCTCCCAGTGGCGAAATTAATGACGACGGCAACTTCAAACCCGAGGCAAAGTACGGCCATAATATTGGCTTTCTGAAAAATGGGGCATGAAGGAGCTGCTTTTGGATTCTGCACTTCAACAACACATGGCCTTCGAAAGACATCAAATCTTAACTTGGTAAACTGTGGAGTCCAGCTAGTGTATTTACATTGGCCTCTCAATTAAAAAAAAAAAAAAAAGAAAGATGAAGAAAGGGATTCAGTATAAAAGTAAAATATCTGGAGAAAAATCACACACAAAAAAAAAAAACAGCTTAAGTCGCATTTGAGCCATACAGCAATAATACCCGTTCACCTGATGGCCACTTACAGTGTGAATAGTCGGTCGTCAGCAACTGCAGACCCTGCTGCATAATTTGACATGGCTACCACTTTGTACCTGCTTTGCTATAACACCTCTAACAATGGGCCGTGGGATATATGGCTGCGAGGAAATTTCACAAGTGAGGCGACGTCTACGAGCTTGTTCAGGCAGTCAAGCTGTGCTGTTTTCCTCACTCGTGATCTTTCTCACACTCTGCAGAATATCCCAAGCATAACCCAGTGATTTGGGGATTTTAGTCGAGGCGCAAAACATTCAGCGGCTCTCTGAAGTTTCATGCAATGCTCCTGCCTGCTTTTGTTTGTCTTACACATAAAAATCTGAATGGTGCGGTGTGGATTTGTATTCAGTCCCCTTTATTTTGATACGTCTAAAAAAGCGTCTGGTGGAATCAACTACCAAAAAAATTAGCAGCTCTCGTTGCAAAAAAAAAAAAAAAAAAAATTGGTTCTGCAATGGCTAAGAAGTCTGACTGCAAATGTACATTAAAGTTATCAGGTTTTCCATTGTAAAACAGTTTTGAAACCACTTATCGTTTCAAAATGATGTATTTCTTTGTGCCGGTCTGTTACATAAAGCATTTACATCACTGGTTGTAATGTGACAAAATGTGAAAAGGGGAATGGACATGATTGCTTTTATAAGGCGCTGTGTTGTACAAGCATGACCTGATATGATATAATGAAAACGCCCGACCTCCAGCTCATTGGCTCAAACAGAATCGTTCCTTTCAAAAGCAGCAGTGATTCACAGCGCGCCACCATTTTTCTGTTCATTCAGCTTAAATTCAGGCATTCGGGAGCGATGTGCATGCTGTGATGTTCATAAAGTGTGTGTAGAACACTTCTGGGAATTATTTCAAATTCAGAAAGTCAGAAGGAAAAGGCGCTCTGAGCAGAGCTCTTCCACCAACACTTCATATTATGTAACATGGGTACAAGTGTTTCTTCTGCCTTTATTTCTAAACTGTGAGCATTACAGTGTAGAAATACCCGCAGTGTATTTCTACCTTAGTTGTGATACAGCTCTCTGCGTTTTTATTCCTGTATGAGTTTGTTTTCGTATGCAATATTCCAACATGTCAGACAGATTAACACCGATGCTTCTGAAAACATCAAATATGTGAAGAATTACTTGAGATATTCTTGAAGCCAGTGGTTCACTCTGTAAAGTCGCTCCATTGTCTTCTTCTTGGACAGATGGGAGAATTGACAAGATGGTGAGAGAATGACTGCAGCTTTTCTAATGCATTATTGATTTGTCTTGATTTGCTGTTCCTCTATAATCCAACATATCCACGACCATAAAGTAGCGTCAGCAGTTTGACTCGGTGATGAGGAGCCCAACAGCTTCATGATTTTATTACCAGTTTTGGAATAAAACACTCAAATATTTTGCTGAGACAGTTTGCATATAAACCGCGAGCTTTAAAGATCATTTACAGTTTTTCTTTTTATGTGTGTTTGGATTTATATGTAGTTGTCATTCATTCATTCATTCATTCATGTCTGAAACAGGGAACGTGTAAAAAGCTCAAAGATATCAAACTGTCACCTCATGTCGGGATTTAAAAGCCCAATCTGAATTATTTACAACGTTCCTCGGTGATAAAAAGCCAATTGTGACAAAAAATAGTTTTAAAAAGAACTAAAACTCCAGCATTAACGTTATTATGGCCCTCCAGAGCTGATCAAGCATTAATACTGTACATCACCCAAGTAACATGTAATCAGAATAGCTGACATAAAATTAACAATGACTGCACAAGTCTCACTTTTCCTCGCACAACTAGTCCATGTTCTACTTCTGAGTTTGAAACTGCACCACGATAATGTATCTCTTAAAGCAACACTTGGCCTCTTACACCCTGTTTGCATTTTACATTTAGGCCATTAATGCTTCAAATTGATGGGAAGTGAAATCACTGACATATAAAATTGATGCAGTCGAGTTCTCATTTTCATTTGGCTCAGGCATAAAGAAAAAAGTCACACCTGAATCTAAGTATTGTTGAGAAGTATAGTGAAGGAACATCTTAAAAACACTGTGACACGCAAATCAAATTCAACCTTATTGTGCCGAGAAATGCTGAAAGTCAAAAAAATTAATCAGAAGAAGCAATGGCATATCTGGTTTTTCTTTCTTTTTTTTTAAATTTCTATTTTAAAATAATTTCATTCAGTAATGGCTAATCTAGCCGGCATTTTCGAAAATGTTCAAAATGCTCCTCTCTGCTTTTCAACACAATAGCAGTACTTGGATAGAGAGCCGGGTTAAAGTAATGGATTTTACAATCGAAGAGATGCAACGATAAAGACTCTTCATAAAGAAATTAAAAGCTCAAGCAGGACAAAACAAACAAACAAACAAACCAGAAACGTATATTTGAGTTTTGAGTCTGTGGGGCATAACTGCAGTGCTTTTGTTTTTTTGTTTTTTTTATACAGGAGCTGTCATCTTTTTCCACAAAGCAGTGAACCAGAAGACAACAAAAAGGAGGCCACTACAAAGACTGCACAGAAAGGCTGCCAGACATACCAATGGATTCACAGACTAGCCGGCTGCTTGCATCAAAAACTGTTTATTTTTAGCGAGCGCACAAATAAATCACATCTAAAGAGGTCAGGCCAGCATTGCGGGTTTAGAAATTACCAACAGCATGGAAGCAAAATGTAGTTCAGCATTCGGAGTAGAACCCCAAAAACCTCCACAGGGCATGTTCAAACTGAGAAAATGACGTATTCAGTCATCTGCATCTGAAAAAATTCAAGCTGTTATTTAAAGTGGAATTTGGATGAAGAGGATTTCGATTTGAACAAATTATGTCTAAGGAGTAGCAATATTCAACCAATGGTGTGAAACAACAGGAATAAAGTATGCTGATGCATGTTTTGTTTACAAAATGAATTGGCATATTCACATTGACGACAAGTAGCTGATTCAACCAAAAGTCAGAAGATTCAAATATTTATAACAATTTTTAAAGTGATTTTGTACCGAAACATAGTGTAAAATATTAATCTTCAAATATCGGTGAATCTAACGTTTAGTTTTTTTCTTTTTAATTTGTTGACTTGTATTCAATTTTTTTTTAAAAACAGTGGCCACACGGCTCCTGTTTAAATCCATTCCACTCATGCATTGAAAAGACTCCAGGCTTCCTGTAAAGAGATGTGTTGCCGTTCAGAGATGCACCGAAGCAAAATCTGTTTGAAATTTTATGTTTGCACTATGTTGTCATTGAGAGACTCCACTGACACAATTACGGCATTTCAATATTAGAGGAAATTAGTCACAGATTAACCTGCTGCTGCTGAATTTGGCGCAAAAAGAAAACAGTTTAATCACACCAGGTAAAATGGCTCCATGAATGCACAGTTGTTTGGGAGACACCTGTTCATTCACACTGAAGTTTCTCAAGTATCTACTCAGTAATCTGGAAAGCTGCAAACCGTCGTTGCAGGGGGCGTAGCAGTCTCCTCCAGGAGCACAAACAGAATGCTAATGCTGCCACGTTCACCTCCGTCCTCTCTCCTCTTTGAAACATACAAGGGCAATGCTGCATTAATCATGGATTCACATCCCTCCTCCTTCACCATCACCTGCCTACACGCACGCATGCACGGCCGCGCCAGCAGAGAAATCTGTCTGACACAGTCCGTAAAATTTTAATGTCACTTAACCTAAAAGGCATGACATTGTTTAACTCTTGTAATTAGACTGTCTGCTACCAATAAAAGAATAAGCCACGCCGAGACATGAACCAAGAAGAAAACATTGCACAGCTCACTTCATCGAACACATCATTTTAGCGACACCCACTCCAAAAAAAAAAAAAAAAAAGCACAAGTATGCGCGCCCACACACACACACACGCACTCACGTGGAAATATAGTCCAATACACAGCATACTGCCTTTTTTTTTTTTTTCCTGCTTCACCACTTTGGGCAAAATGAGTGGGAAAGAGGAGCAGAAGAACACAGTGGTGTTCATGAAAATGAGGTAAAAGTGAGAAACACTTCAGGAAAAACTCGAAAAAAAAATCCAAAATTCTATAATGGGTATGTAGAAAGATTACATTTTCAGATATTTTAAGTGGTTCTTCACGTAGAGGATTTCAATAAGCGTCAAACAATAGGAGAAAAATGTGCCAACAGGCCAAAGGAGTGGGTGTAGAAATAAATAAAAAAACAACAACATGTAACTAGACAAGACATAAAAACTCCCTATGCTCCATAGTATTGTGGAAAAGTCTTAAGAATTGATTAGCGCTTTTATATTTTGATCTTCGGTGAAACTTTCTTTCAAATATTGTTGAAGTGGATCTAAGCAACATTTAAAAAGTCATTTTAAAGTGTCGCCTGGT